GAAAAAGAAATACTTTACAAAAAACTTTCGCTGACATAATAGTCTTCCAACTAAAGCTGGAGTCGATTGATGTAACTCTCCAGGATCAAGAATTCCGGATGAGTTTGAACTAGGAGTTTCGTCAGTTGATAGTTTCTCCGCTGGCATGACGGAATGAATGAGGATCCTCTTAGAGATAATTTATTGAATGAAGAAGAAACGTAAGAGGAATCTAGTCATCAAATATATATACGTTTTCTTTTAAATGTGTACGTCATATCATTTAAGTGCGCCGAGCAAAAGCAAACAGTTCTTGCGTGCAAAGTACAACACATCGTAAAAGTCCTTTTTTCGACCCTCATTATAAGTTGTTATTCTAAATATATACTGTTTTATTTTGTACACTCGGTAAGTATTCATACCTAACTCTTTGTTTAATCAAACGAAAGAAACCACTTTATCTTGGAAGTACGAGAAATGGATTTAGTAAAAACGTAACCTTCTACTCTACAAATTTGCCAAGCGTTTAAGACGGGACAATTTGCTTTTTATAAATCAAATTAACAAGAAGTTACACAAATTTTATTCGCATAAGTGCGACGCCAAGCAATAAACCCATTAACCGTAGTAAAAGATGTCATCATTAAAAAAAAATACATACGTAAATCAATTATTAATTTTCAAAAAAAAAATACTATTTTTATAATATTATTTATATATAGCTTTATGATTTTATTATAAAAATTCAATCATCACCTTAATATCAAGAAAAATTAGAAGCTTGCGAAATACTTAAAATAAAAATTTTAAATTATTTTAAATATAGAAATTCAATAGAATTCAATATATAAAATGGTTATATATGTTATCAAATTAAAAAAGTAAATTAATTTAATTTTTTAAAGTTTATATAAATTATTTAAAATATTTAATTAAATATGTCATATTTACATTTAAAATTAAAAAAAATATTAATTTGACAAAAATATTTGAAAAATATTTGAACAAATATAGTAATTTCTTATATTTTTTCAACAAATAATAAAAATATTATTAGCAAAATCATATTTAGAGCTTCTAAAAATACCATTTTAATATTACTTTCATATCAGTTTGATATTTAAATTTATTATAAATTTATATAAATAAATCACAATTCATATATTAAATTTATTATAAATCAATACTATTTTGATATTAGTTTAATACTAATTAATATTAGTTTAATACTTTTCAAAATTCTAATCATATTCTACTTTTTCTATAATAGTTTTTTTATATAATTTATTGTTTGCTTATAAAAATAATATTGAAAATAATAGAAAAACTCTTTTTTATTTCCTCTTCTATACTTAAAAAAATTTTTTTTAAGAAATTTTTGAGTTGTTTACTTTTTTCTTCCTCTCCCCATATTTCCCTTTCCATATTTTTTTATTTCTCTTCTTTTATCTTCTTCTCTTTCTTTTTATATACTTTTTTTATATCTTATACCTATCCTCTTTCTCCTTTACTTTTTTTTTTCTGCCAAAGTTAGATTTTTCTTTTTTCTTAAAGGTTTTCCTCTCTAGATCTCTCTCTCTTTTTTGAAAACTCTATTTCCATAACATTACTCCTCTGGCCAGTCAACTTTCTTCTTTCAAGAATTATATTAAGAAGCAATAATCTTTCTTAAAATATGGACTTTAGGAAATTTTCTTTTTTCTATGGTTTCTTAAAAAAAAAACAGATAGTTTACTCTCTTCAAAAATCAATATGATTATTATTACCAAACTCAGTATTGTTTACTGATTGACAATTAGACTAAATATATCCAAAAAACCTCTGCACAACTATTATTATTTAAAAGTACTTAAGAAGTTGCATTCTACAGTACTCAGAGTAAAATAACTGTCAATGCCAATGCAACTAACAATAAGCTAAATTAGTTGCAGGTATTATATTGGTGATTAAAGAATTTAGTAGAGTAATATGTGACAACTAGGAATTCTAGTTACTTCTTAAAAATGAATTGGTAATAATAACAAAAGTTTCTCGCTCATCTCTTGAACAATATAAATCCATTGTACAAGATTAGGTTTCAGCATCATTAAGAAAACCAATATGAACTTCACTTATAGGACACTTTCGCCATACTTGAAATATGAGTATGTCGAATTCTTTTTGTAACTTGGAGACAAACTTGTATAAAGTGACTGCAATGCCTTTATGTAAAAAGGTATTCACTTCCCATTATCTCCAATACTACTTCACTTGTCATACATCAAGCCATATTTGAAAAGCAGGCATATCAATCCTAATTATAACTTGGAGGCCAACCTGTAT